ATGATAAATTCTATGTCTTTTCTCTATAATAAAGTTCCTGTTTCCTGATAGCAGAAAAGCAGCAGATAAACAAATCTGGACTGTGCACTGTCTGTCCTGTAGGGTTTCTAAAAGGTTATGGGCCCAGACACCCAGTCATTGCCGACTACAGCAAAGAATTGCAAGATACGACAACAGACAGAAGATTGCAACAGAATAAATGAAAATGGCCAGTAACACAGTTTCAACAAAGCTTTCATTTGCAAACCAGAACTGCCAGTCTTGGAAAGATGAAAGATGAAAATGCTGCTAATAAGAGAAGGTACCTGTAAACGTATAAGTCAGGCCAGAACACCCTTCCTTCAGATGAGTGGATGCAGAAAGATCAGAAAGCTCAGAGCACAATCTCTCTTAGCACAGAAGATGATCAAATCATACAGTACAGTATATGTAAGTGTGAAACTGCTAAAAAAATATGTGGGGGGATTACAAAAAGGTAATCTCATTAATAAACTGTATTTATGCAGAAAGCTATACCAAACCAAGCTAGGATATGTTGAATATGCAGGATTATATAAGTCACACCTTGGAAATGGTTGAACGCAAGAGAGGTATAGGGGAAGAAATAAAAGATTTTCATGTTGCAGCACTAATACTTAGTGGTTTACCAGAAATTTATGAAATGCTAGTCAAAACACTTGATGCATGTCCAGATGAGGAACTGACATACTGGAATACGTTAAGGGCAATGTTATGAATGAATATAAGCGTAAAACAAAAATCATTAATGACGGTGCTTCTGTCTCAGAGTCTGCTTTTAGGAAAGAAAATAGGCATAAAAACAGTAACATGCAACAAGAAACATGTGAATGCTTTGTGTGCAAGAAACAAGGTAATTTAAAAGCAGATTGCAGAATCTGGAAAGCTAGAATGTAAAAACAAACTATACTACAAAAGGCTAAAAGTGCGAAGGAAGAAATTGATTTTTCTTCAGATAATGAATATGTTTTTCAATCCAAAAGTTGCAACTCATCTTTTTAGGAATGATGTGTTGATTCAGGAGCTGCAAGTCATATGATGAATGACAGAAATTTCTTTATTCACTTTGAGCAGAGTAAAACAGAAAAAAATCACCACAGCGAATGAGCTAATAATGGAATCAGAAGAAACTGGAGACAGTTTTCTTCACTGTCCTATTTGCTAGAGTGTCACCAGAAAGATACCTCTGAAATATGTCCTGTATGTCCCTGCTCTTGAAAGGAATCTTTTGTCAGTGAAGAAGTTCACAAAAAAGGCACTCGTGACTCTAATGAAGAGGGGATCGTCACTTGAAACGTGTCAGCCATTTGAGGGTCTTCTCATGCTTTGGGAGCTGACCTGGTGACATGATTGCTTTGGATAATAAAGTTAACTCTCAGGTAATGCACTAGGCCAGTGGTGGGCAACCTTTTTTTTTTTCAACTGAGCCAAATCTCGCCAAACCACGATTGAAATTTATTTTGAGAGCCACATTTTTAAAACTGAAAATACATCCCCCATATAGTAATTCATCCCCCATAGTAATTCATCCCCCATATAGTAATTCATCCCCCATAGTAATTCATCCCCCATATAGTAATTCATCCCCCATAGTAATTCATCCCCCATAGTAATTCATCCCCCATATAGTAGTAATTCCCCCATATAGTAATTCATCCCCCATATAGTAATTCATCCCCCATATAGTAATTCATCCCCCTATAGTAATTCATCCCCCATATTAATTCATCCCCCATATAGTAATTCATCCCCCATAGTAATTCATCCCCCATAGTAATTCATCCCCCATATAGTAATACATCCCCCATATAGTAATTCATCCCCCCTATAGTAATTCATCCCCCATATAGTAATTCATCCCCCATATAGTAATTCATCCCCCCTATAGTAATTCATCCCCCATAGTAATTCATCCCCCATAGTAATTCATCCCCCCTATAGTAATTCATCCCCCATAGTAATTCATCCCCCAAATAGTAATTCATCCCCCATATAGTAATTCATCCCCCCTATAGTAATTCATTCCCCATATTAATTCATCCCCCATATTAAGTCCCCAAGTCCCCCCTGTGTCAATTCACTTACCTTTGCTCCGCGCGTTCTTCTCGCCGTGTTCCCGTGCTGTTCTGGTCTTCAGGGCGGACTGTGAGAGGAGTTCGTCACGCTGCCCCGCCTACATCCTGGCTGCCCCGCCTACATCCTGACAGCTGCAGAGTCCTGACTTTTGGGGCGGCCGCCCGAGAGGAGGGAGGGGAGCGGGCGCCCGGCACACAGAAGAGCCGCATTTAAGTTTGTAAAGAGCCGCATGTGGCTCGCGAGCCACGGCTTGCCGACCACTGCACTAGGCTGTTGCGCCCTCTGTTTTCTTGTTTTGCAAAAGGCCAGTGTTAGCAATGGTAGAAGCAGATCAGGCATAGGCAGTAGGATGAATCTGGAATACAAGACAAGGTCAGGGCAGGTAGCAAACAAGCAGAGTCAGAAGCAAGCTGGGGTCAAGATCGGAGGTCAAACACAGGAGTCAGGATATACATGCACAGAAGCTGCAGACCAAACAGCAATAAGCCAGTGCAGTAGCCCGGTATAAATAGGCAGTTTGGCACTAGCCATGGTGACAAGTGCATGCCCGTTTGTGCGAGTGCGCACACGTACACTCACTCATGCACATATTTGTGCACATCTGCTCAGCCCGTTGCCATTCTGCACATGCACATAAGTTTGCACTGCAAAACTTCACCTGAACTATGGGCAAGCCTTCCCTGACATTGCCCCCTCCCTACGGGCAGCCTTCAGATGCCTTGCTGGCTCTTCTTCTGCGGATGGCTGTGAAAAAATAAATGCACAAATCAAGTCTGTTGCGTTCACATTTTGTACAGGTTCCCAGGAATTCTTGTCTCGACCATACCCTTTCCATTTGCTCAGACACTGTATTTGACCCCTTCTTCTCCTGCAGTCTAAAATGGCCTTAACTTCAAATTCCTCATCACCATTAATGATCACAGGTTCAGAAGGTCCTGATCTCTGGTTAGGAAAAGGATGTAGTATTTCAGGTTTCTTCAAAGATACATAGAACACTGGATGAATTTTAAAGGATTCTGGTAATGATGGGTCATAAGAAACATCGTTAATTTTTCTTCTTACCGGGAATGGACCCACAAACTTAGGTGCCAACTTTTCAGTTTTGTCATGGCTACCCGGTGCCCTGGCTGCAGGATTAGCTCTCCCCTTCTCCTCTTATCATATGCCTACTTACGACTTCCTGCAGCAATTTATTGTTGCGACTGAAGAAATCTAAAGTACTTTGGATGGCTTGACCATAGGATTCAGGAACAAGATCAGGCACAAAAGTAGGGTGAAAGCCATAATTCACGAAGAACGGAGACTGCTTGGTGGCTGAAGGAGTTGACAGGAGTTGTTAAAAGTGTATTTTCTACTAGCGGCAGAAGTGACGCCCAATCATCTTGTACAAAGGACGTAAAGCACTGGCTGTACTGCTCCAAAGTTTGATTGGTCCCTTCTATTTACCCGTTAGTCTGCGGATGGTAAGCTGAAGATAGAGATAAGGATAAATAAATTCAATCCAAAAAATATAAACTTGCACTAATAAGAACCACAATAGATAACCAGTAATAATCAAAAACGAGGTGTAAAACATATAGCAGCTGAAAACAAAAACCCTGATACTAGGCAATCAACAATAAATACATAAAAGTGCAGCGCTTAAAAAGTTACAAATAATCATAAGAAAACGGTGAAAAATGTGTCCAAAAAATAGTCCATCCAAAAATAAAAGAAAAGTCCCAGAGGCTTTTGATGAAACAAAAGAAATCCAAGGACAGTTGTCATGTCACCAACCACTACCACAGAAGGCTTAGTAGAAAGGCATGTCCCCCTGTAAAGAGTGGTCAATCGCGCTTTGTTAAACAATCCAGAAAGCCGGTCACTCGAATCCTCCTCCAGATCACCAAAGCAGCAGATAAGGATCTCCCAAACAATGGACCTTAAATAGGGTAGCTAAACCATTAAGGATAAGGCTTTTGTGGTTCTGTATAAGAACATTAGATGGCGCCCCAATAGTCAGCTCAAGCAGGATGATTTAGTAATTGTTAAGTGTCAACAATTTTTGATTGTCACCACAGGGTGGAGCTATGTTCCATTTTTTGCACACCTTTGATGGACTAATACATAATACATTTTAAATGCCATTTGATCTTCTGGCACTAGATGGCAATGTTCCCAGTTGATTAGAGACTGATTACTTTGCAGGTGTACTTCCTGCTTTACTCACCATGAGTGGCCAATCAAGTGCGATCCTCGGCCACTTGCGCAGTAGCGTGTGTGCGTGGCTCCACCCTACGTGTTTCGTCACAGGTAACATCATCAGGGGCACGCCCACACACTTAACCACGCTCCTTACATAGGAGCATGGTTAAGTGTGTGGTCGTGCCCTTTGATGACGTTACCTGTGACAAAACGCATAGGATGGAGCCACGCACGCTTGCTACTGTGCATGCGCGAACGGCCAACAGCTATTTTGGAAATGGTAAAATTTTGATTTTTTTTGCCAATCAATGCCTAATGATGTTTGCTTACATGTGAGTGCAACCATACTTTAACTAGTAGCCGACCGCAGATAGCCGAATGACGGCTGCACTGCGGCCGGCCAGTTCTGGGTGGACGTCATATGACGTCCCCCCAGAACGCGCTCTCCTGCACGCCCCAGGGGGCGCGCACCCGGCGATCTCCGTGATCGCTGTGTCCTACGGACACAGCTGATCACGTGATGTGGTAAAAGGCCAATCACAGCGGCCTTTTACCACGTGATCAGCGGTGTCCAATGACACGCTGATCAGAGGAAAATGCAAGTGCCGGTTCTCGGCTGCACTTTCCTCATGCTGTCAGATCGTGAGGAAAGTACTGCCGAGAACCGGCAGTTGTCAGAGCGGGGATCGGCACCAATCATCAGTGCCCTGATGATCGGTGCCCAGCAGTGCCGCCCGCAAGTTCCGCCCACCTGTGCCCAGCAGTGCGCCCACTAGCTCCGCCCACCTGTGCCCAGCAGTGCAGCCACCTGTGCCCAGCAGTGCACCCACCTGTGCCACTCTGCAGTGCCACCTACCTGTGCCCAGAAGTGCCACCTACCTGTGCCCAGCAGTGCCACCCACATGTGCCCACCCACCTGTGCCCACCAGTGCCACCCACCTGTGCCCACCCACCAGTGCTGCCCACCAGTGCCGCCCACCAGTGCAGCCCAGCAGTGCTGCCAGTCAGTGCCACCAGTCAGTGCCCAGGGGTTGTGCCAGTCAGTGCCGCCAGTCAGTGCCCAGCAGTGATGCCAGTCAGTGCCGTCTATCAGTACCCATCATCAGTGTCACCTATCAGTGCCGCCTATCAGTGCTGCATATTAGTGCCGCCTATCCGTGACACCTCATTAGTGCTGTCTATCAGTGCCGCCTATTCGTGCCACCTCATTAGTACTGCCTATCAGTGCCCTTTAGTGCTGCCTATCAGTGCCCATCAGTGCCGCCTATCAGTGCCCATTAGTGCTGCCTCATCAACGCACATCAGTGAAGGAGAAAAAATACCTGTTTGAAAAATTTTATAATAGAAACAAAGAAACTTTTTTTTTTTTTTCAAATTTTTTACACTTTTTTTATTTTTAGCGCAAAAAGTAAAGCGCCCAGTGGCGATTAAATACCACCAAAAGAAAGCTCTATTTGTGAGAAAAAAATGATCAAAATTTCATATGGGTACAATGTTGCATGACCACGCAATTGTCAATTTAAAGTGCGGCAGCGCTGAAAGCTGAAAATTGTAAATAAGGGGGTATAAGTGCCTGGTAGGCAAGTGGTTAAATAAATGTTGTGATTATGGTTTTACGCTATGTGGAGCGCTCTTTCTTTACATGTTTTCCACTAAGTCCAAGCCTTATCCTGAATGGCTTAGCTACCCTAATTAAGGTCCATTGTTTGGAAGATCTTTATCTGCTGTTTTGGTGATCTGGAGGAGGATTCGAGTGACCGGCTTTCTGGATTGTTTAACAAAGCACGATTGACCACTCTTTAACAGGGGTCATGCCTTTCTGGTAAGCCTTCTGCAATAGTGATTGGTGACACAACTGTCCGTGGATTTCTTTTGTTTCATCACAGCCTCTGGGACTTTTCTTTTATTTTTGGATGGCCTATTTTTTTTATAAATTTTTCGCTGTTTTCTTATGATTATTTGTAACTTTTAAAGCGCTGCACTTTTATGTATCTATTGAAGATAGAGATAGTTCAATCTGTAAGTTTCCACATAGTGCCTTCCAAAATGGTGATGTAAATTGGACCCCATGGTCCGAGACGATGTTTGTGGGAACCGCATAGAGCCTGATGATTTCCTTAACAAACACCCGAGCTGTCTCCATTGCAGATGGTGTATTCATCAAGGGTAGGAAGTGGGACATCTTAGATAGCCAATCAACTACAACGAAGATGGCTGTACACCCCTCAGAGGGTGGCAACTCCACTATAGAGTCCATAGAGATCATTTTTCATGGTCTGTCTGGTATAGGCAAGGGTCTGAGCAAACCCCAAGCTTTATTTCGGGTACTCTTGCTTCCGGTACAGGTAGTATATGCACTTACATAGTCCTTGCAAGCCCTTTCCAAATCAGGCCACCAAAATGTGTGTTGCAACAATTCCACCATCTTGCGGATCCCGAAGTGGCCTGCCAAAGGGTGATCATGACAAAACCCCTAGACTATTACCCGAACACTTTCTGGGACAAAAATTTGGTCTCCTTTCTATAACAGTCCATCTTTCACCTGCAAAGTGACCCCGGAAGGATTAGGGGTGTCTGCAGGTTCCTGCTTCAGTTGTGACATGCGATCAGTCTGTAACAAAAGGAAGTTACCTGCTGGTAGGATGGTATCTGGTACTGGCGTGTCCTTCAGATCTTCAAACATACATGACAATACATCAGGCTTGATGTTTTTTGTCCTGAGCTGGTAGATTATATGGAAGGAGAACCTAGAAAAGAAGAGTGCCCATCGGGCCCGGTGAGGTCGCAGGCATTTTGCCGTTCTCAGATATTCAAGGTTCTTGTGGTCTGTATTGATTAGTATTGGGTGAGCTACCTCTTCTAAGAAATATCTCCATTCCTCTAGGGCTGCTTTATTTGCAAGGAGCTCACGATCTCCCACATCATAGTTTCTTTCTGTGAGGCAAGTTTCTATGAGAAGAATGCTACCGGATGGATCAAGTCCTTGAAGCCTTGGCGCTGGGACAGGACTGCCCTGACTGCACATTCTGATACATCTAGGGTCTGGATGAACATGAGCAAAAGTAAGCAGCTTCTTTAGAGTCTCAAAGGCAGCTTGTGCCTCAGGGGTCCATCGGAAACAGATACTCTGCTTGGTGAGCTGTGTAATGGAGGTAATAATGGCTGAGAAGTTCTTGATAAATCTGCGGTAAAAGTTAGCAAACCCCACAAACCGTTCAGCCTCTTTCTTATCTGTGGTTGCTGACCAATCCAGGACTGTGGAGACCTTTTCTGGATCCATTTCGGTTCCCTTGTAGAAATGATTAAGCTCAGGAACTCCGCTGCTCAAATCACATTTTTCAGGCTTGGCATAGAGTCCATGATGGCGAAGTCTGCAAAGAACACTATTAACATGTCCCTGGTGAACTACAAGAGAAATGGAAAATATTAGAATGTCGTCCAGATACACAATTAAAAAGATAGCCAAGAAGTCTCTGAAGATGTCATTAATGAAGTGTTGGAATGTGGCTGGCACATTGCATAGGCTGAATGGCATGACAAAGTACTCAAAGTGGCCAAAACAAGTTCGAAATGTGGTCTTCCATTCATCCCCTTCTCGGATAAGGACCAAGTTGTAGGCCCCCTCAAGTCCAGTTTGGTAAAAATAGTGGCAGACCTCAGTCTTTGGAAAAGTTCAGGTACCAAGGGAAGAGAATAGCAGTTCTTTACAGTGATTTTGTTTAAGTCCCAAAAATCCACACATGGCAGAAGGGAATGGTCTTTTTTTCCACAAAAAATTATTCCTGCACCAGCTGGTGAAGTAGAGGGGTGGATGAATCCCTTCTTAAGATTTTCAAGGCCCTCAATTCACGTTTGGACAGTGGGAAGATGCACTAGAGGCTAGTTCCCTATCAGGTTCTCCGTGCCTGTGATCAACAACGGATGTCAGAGGGTGGATTTTATTGCTGATATTCAATCCAATAGACTTTGTAATTTGGCCATCACCATGCGCTGTCAATCACAGGCAAGGCAGACCTGATGGGGAACTGGTTTGTCAGAGTTCCCTCTTCAGGCTCCACCCATTCTACAACTCAGATTCGGAACTGTTGGTTGGGGAATGCTGAGACTAGTACCCCATCAGCTCCTCCTTGCCTGTAACTAACAGTGCATGGCAGGGAGTAGATTCCAAAACTGTGCTATGGATCTGTCCACTAGTGCTGGGACAAGCTCACCCAGCGCCCAGGGCAAAGATGCCAAAATTGCATCCCCTCGCTTCCCTTAGGGTTAGCAGTGATCTCGCTGTCAATACTCCTGTCAGCCTTGTAAGAGAAGCAACTTGCCCAGGACGCCCCCATTGCTGCTGTAAACCATTGTGCACAGGGCTGTGCGCTGTTCATTGAAAGGAAAGCGGACTTGATAGAGAACTAGTCTCTCAGTTCCACACCAGACTCTCTCTACCCCTAGTACAAAACCCCTCAACCATGCTTCTATGGACTTAGTGAGGGAGGAGGTTGTATAATGAGGAAGGAGTCCAGTGTGGACAATGAATCGGGAGCAAAAACCATCATTTTCGGTGATGAGCTCTGACGAAATTCAAAAAGGTGTCTATGACTCCCATTATGAATTCCCCAGATGGTGTGAACAAGCCATGATCCCTGGTTCACATATATGCGGCCGTGTGGGCCATGTTTTGCATGGACACGAGAGCCCATTCATTTGAATGGACTCCCCTACCCTGTGACACGCAGGGCAGAAGTCCCTACACTTCTTCCGAAAACGCAGCCGGCACGAGAACCTCAGGTTCCAGTACATTTGCGTTTTCCGGTGCGGGCGGCGTACCATTAGAATGGCACCCGCCCGCGGGTCTGCATTCCTCTGTGCAAGTGGTGGGGCAGCACTGATTTTCATGCAGATCTGCAGCGGCACCACCCGCACAGATGTGAACCTAGCTCAAGAGCTGGTGCACACCATAGAAACGCAGTCTAGATGTGTTCCGGATGCGTTCCTGCATGCGTGTTTTGACATGTTCCAGTGCATTTTTTTTATGTGTTCCGATGCATTTTGATGCGTTCTGGTTCATTTTTTCCCTCTCTCTTTTTGTTCAATTTAAATAGGGACATGTGCAGGGGCGGACTGACTATTTGGAAATTCGGGCACTGCCCGAGGGCCCGGGATCAGTAGGGGGCCCCATGAGATGCCCCTGGTACCTTTTTCATAGGCTTTTTTGAGTTTGGGCAAGGACACAGGGGCCCCATGATCCCCTATTGCCCGGGGGCCCCATGAGTTGTCAGTCTGCCCCTGGACATGGGCATTTTAGTGCGTTTTTGATGCATTTTACCGCATTCCAGTACAGTTCTGTGCAGGAAAAATGCAGCCTGTTCTACTTTTTTTCCTACTTTATGTGTTTTGGATGCAGAACAGAAGCACACTGAAACGCATGTAGTATAAACCAGCCCTAAAAGATGACCAAACTTTGCACTGCAATATAAGATTTGTTTCAACATAAAGTATAAAATCATTATTAAAAACATTTAATAATTTTTCTTAAAAATGAAATTTAAAAAAGTAAATAAAAAACTATAAACAAAGAAATGAAAAAATAAATAAAAATCGCTGATAGAAATTTTCTATCTCCAAGACCAGGGGATACTGCAGAAATTTGATCGACTGGTAAAGAAATAAAATTGGCAAACCTTCCTGAGACAGCATGACGTGCACACCAGCCTGCTAACTCCACCTCTTCCATTCACACCTCACCTGTCACGCTGCCTGCACACTCCAGCTGTTAAGCCAGAGCAGTCACATGACGCAGCCTTGTGCTCGATCACGTGACGAGTATGTCAACAAGCAGGGAGCAGTTTCCGCGTTCCACGCCGGGCAGGATGTGCCCGTAGCTGGGCTCTCCCATTAACCGCTGACCTGTTCAAAGGAGACCGCCGTGCTGACAGATTGCCCGGTCTGAACAGGTATTGACTCGTTCGGTTTCGGTAGTCTTCGGGCTGCACGTGGACTGTAATGGCATCACACACATCTGTGTAGCATTCAATAGGAGCTCTGGTTAGGTCTGTTACCAATGTTGTTAGTATGGGGAGAGAAGGGCTGATCTCCACACTGAGGGAGTTCTCTGTGTTTTTTATTTATGTATTGATATGGTGATAGGTATTGACAGTGTCCAAAAGTGTGTGTTGAAGCAGAACCAGGGGCGGACTGACCATTTGGAAACTCGGGCACTGCCCGAGGGCCCGGGGTCAGTAGGGGGCCCCATGAGATGCCCCTGGTACCTTTTTCATAGGCTTTTTTGAGTTTGGGCAAGGACACAGGGGCCCAGGGGCGGACTGACAACTCATGGGGCCCCCGGGCAAAAGGGGATCATGGGGCCCCTGTGTCCTTACCCAAACTCAAAAAAGCCTATGAAAATTGTACCAGGGTCATCTCATGGGGACCCCTACTGACCCTGTGCCCTCGGGCAGTGCCCAAGTTTCTAAATGGTCAGTCCGCCCCTGCAGGGGCCCCATGATTCCCTATTGCCCTGGGGCCCCATGAGTTGTCAGTCCGCCCCTGAGCAGAACTAATCCCTCTAATCCTTCATAGCCAATCAAGATGCCATCTCATCCTCGGTTTGGTCTGCAGTTGCCATGGTTGTGCACATGTGATCAATGTTGACAGCAGTAGTGATGAGCATGTATGCAAGGGGTGTGTGTGTACGTGTGGCTGTAGGGTGCGAATGCCTCCGGCACCTATGATTGGCTGATGGCTTCAACATCAGGACAGCTCAGGAGGGTTTGGACTCCTGTCTGCACACATCTAAGCTCATACCGAAATAGTATAAATACAGTCAGTGGCACTAGTCAGTGCCCAGCAGTTGTGCCAGTCAGTGCCACCTATTGGTGCTGTCTATCAGTACCCATCATCAGTGTCGCCTATCAATGACACCTCATTAGTGCTGCCTCATCAGTGCCCATCGGTGCTGCCTCATCAGTGCCCATCAGTGCTGCCTATCAGTGCCCATCAGTGCTGCCTCATCAACGCACATCAGTGCTGCCTATCAGTGCTGCCTCAACACAACTTCAGTGAAGGAGAAAAATTACCTGTTTGAAAAATTTTATAATCGAAACAAACTTTTTTTTTTTCAAATTTGTTGCAATTGTTTTGTTTATAGCGCAAAAAGTAAAGCGCCCACTCTGTTGGCTGCTGACACAGCTGGGTTGCTATGGCAACTCACTCTAGTGCAAGCTGAGAGGAACATTTATAAACAAACTGCTCCAACTTGCTCATCTTCACTGGTGGTTGCCATCTTCAAACGTTTGTAGTTTTAAATCCTACAGCGAAGAGCTTTAAATTGTGAGAATCACAAGACCCAGACCTACATTTTGATGCATAGGATGTCTCTGAAATATTAAAAATGAAGGCACGGTCGCAGTTTAAAAATGTCCCTTAAAATTTCAGGTGACTGGTGGGGATTCAATGAATGTCAATGGGCGGCGTGAGTTGCAAACAAATGGTCATATTGTGAAAACTATCAGGACTATGGCTTAGCCGTGGACATTTTTAGTGTTAGCAGGGATAGCTGAACGTTTTGATATAAGATTTGTGTAGGTGGGCTTGAAAATGAGGGAGTGATGGCAGTTTAGAAATCATGTCCTGATTTTTCAGCTCACACTCTAGCTTTTGTCAGCTCCCACTCTAGTTTTGAACATTCCGCCATTCATTCCTATGGGACCAATTTCACCACCAAAACGGCGATATTTCGTGAACCATTCGGCGAAACGTTCCACAAAGTAATAGCACACCAATCGGGAACAATCCGCACGAGAACCAAATGTTTCCAGAAAAAGGATTCTTCTTAGAGTGTAACAGGAGATTTTATGTGACAGAAGTGTGACAAGATCATGCCAAAAAACTCTACCTAAGATAGGGTCTGGTCAGCGGAACCCACAGCTGTGTGAGGAACAGCCAGAGGGTACAGAGTGTGACCTGAGTACTGAGGGATGAAGCTACATACTGGAGTCATCACGGGCAACCCAGAGTGAGCTGATAGTGAGTCTCGGATGGAGCACTGCTACTGTGTTGTTGGGTCTGGTGAGAGGGCCTTGTGAAGCTACTTATTACCACCGTTAGTGACTGAGCCATTAGGAACTACCCTCCAGTTACTCCATAGATTTAATACAGCCTGCAAGCCTTATTGACTGCCTTAACCATTTCAATACCGGGCAATTTTACCCCCTTCCTGCCCAGGCCATTTTTCAGGTTTCAGCGCTCTCACACTTTGAATGACAATTGCGCGGTCATACAACATTGTACCCAAACTAACATTTTTATCATTTTCTTCACACAACTAGAGCTTTCTTTTGGTGGTATTTAATCACCGCTGGGGTTTTATTTTTTGCTAAATTAACAAAAAAAGACCAAAAATTTTGAAAAAAAAAAAACCCACATTTTTTTCTTTGTTTCTGTTATAAAAGTTTACTAATAAATAATTGTTCTTCATAAATTTAGGCCGAGATGTATTCTGCTACATGTCTGCGGTGAAAATAACCCAAATTAGGATGTATTGTTTAGTTTGTAGGAAGGTTATAGAGTTCACAAACTATGGTATAGATCTGAATATTGATCAATCCTGAAGTATTGACAGCCAATCTAATTTCTAGAGGTCCAAGAATGTCAGAATAGTACAGATATCCCCAAATGACCCCTTTTTGCAGAGTAGACAGTCCGACGTACTTCATAAGAGGCATGGCGAGTTTTTTGAAGTTGTATTTTTTTTGTCATAATTTTTCGGAAAATTAAAAAATCTATTTTCACTATTTTTTTTTTTACATACTGTCACCAGTGCAGTACAGCATCATCATATAACTGGCATGGCGGTGAACAGGGACACTGACTGGTGACAGTATTAAAAAAAAAATATATATATATATTTTTTTATTTTTTTTATTTTTAATTTTTTTATTAAATTTTTTTTTTATTTTTTTTTAAGATTTTTTTTTCATATTTTACTATGACCAAAGTAGTACAATGTTACCATAGTAACATTGTACTACTTTGGGGAAGTGATCAGTATTTTTTTTTTTTTTTTTTTTTTTTTTTTACACAATTTGCTTATAGCAAAGAATTACTTTGCTATAAGCAAGCATTTACCTGAATGAAATCGATTCATTCAGCTTTTTTTTTTTTTTTTTTTGTGCTTAGCTGTGATTTGGTCACAGCTAATCACATGACATGTGCATGTGATTAGCTGTGACCATTCACAGCTAGGCACTAGTATACAATAGATGGCATGAATGAAGCCATCCATTGTATACAACTGCCATGTGACCTGCTGTGATTGGTCACAGCAGGTCACATGGTTCCTGCAACGGGGGCCGGTACTCAGATCTGCCATCGGCCGTGTCCGAGGTACGCGGCCGGTGACAGATCGCGCTCCTGCGCCGCTCTGCATTAGCGCAAACTGCGCATGTGCGGGAGCATGCCAAATGGCGTGCACCCGGAATACAGCAGCACATTTGAAGCCGCCAAACGGCCATTGGCCGGGCGGCTAATGGTTAACCACTTCCAGTCCGGACACTTTTACCCCCTTCCTGTCCAGGGCAATTTTCAGCTTTCAGCGCTATCACACTTTGACAATTGCGCGGTCATGCAACACTGTACCCATATGAATTTTTTACTATTTTTTTGAGACAGATAAAGCTTTATTTTGGTGGTATTTATTCACCGCTGGGATTTTAATTTTTTTGCCATGTAAATGAAAACGTCCAAAAATTTTGAAAAAAAGTGTTTTTTGCAAATTTTGCAAATAAATAATCTTTCATCATAAATCTTGGCTGAAATGTATTCCGTTATCTTTTTAGTAATAAAAAAATAAGCCAAATTAGTTTATAACCAAAAATTATAATTTTTTAACTTTTTTTTTTATATATATTTTTTTTTTTAATATTATTTGTGTTTTTTTTTTGTTTGTTTTTTTTACATACTGTCACCCTAGCAGTACAGTGTCACCATGGTGACACTGTACTACTTGTGGGGGGTGATGAAGATTTTTTTTTATTTTTTACAGTGATTGCTTTTACACCCATATAGGGTGTAAAAGCAATCATTTCTCTTTCTCTCTGTCTGCATTCTTGCAGACATTGAGAACTACTGAGTGAGCTGTGATTGGTCACAGCTTGTCACATGGTACAAGGCTGTTGTGAATAGCCTTGTACCATGTGACCTCTGTGATCATTCACAGATTTCACACGTAGTAAGCAATGATGTCACAAGTGACATCTTGTTTACTACTTTGCATGTGATCACTGATTGGCCAATCAGCGATCACATGATCAGGACCTCGTACAGAGGTCCCGTCCGACGATCGGTGTTTCACTGTGTCCGGAGGACACAGCGGGCACCAGATAGTGGTGCTGCGCGCACAGCTAGAAATGGCGGGTGCCATTTATGAACGGCAACCCGCCCCTGGAGTGCCACCGTCCTGCCGTTTATAAACAGCAGGCGGACGGCAAGTGGTTAACATGTGCAAACAGGCTCCAACGTTTGGCTGGCTGAAGAGTAAGAACTAAAGACTGCCCCCAACAGTTGCTGCCTTTAGGCCATGTTTTTTTTTTTTTTTTTTTATTTTGTTAGAGGTACCTGCATCCAAGCCAATCCCTCAGAGTGCTCTCAAACCTATTGTAGTGCTATCATGTATATTGAGTTTACCGTCTACTAATATTGTTTATTGCTGATTTACTACCTTCCCCCTCTGATTCTAGGTAAGGGTATAAAATCTCATTTTTGCCAATTTAGCATAGTTATTACTCTGTCTGCTCATTTATGTTCAAATTTCCATTTATTCTAACCCATATCAAATTAACCCCTTTCCCGCCACCCTATAGCAGATATACTGCTACAGGGTGGCAGGGATGTGCAAAATCGTGTATATATACGTGATTTTGCATTACAGGGTAGGGGACGCTCGCCGCTATTCGCGGCCCTGGCTGTCAGTCACTGGCACCCGGTGATCGAGCAGGATTACCGATGGAGGGAGAGAACTGTAAGTTAACAAAACAGTTCTCTCCCCTGTCAGCTCCTGTACCCTGCTATGCATGGCTTTGCATAGCAGAGTCATGCATAGCAGTGTACTTACAGTGAAGCACACACACCGCACACTGTAAAACAGCACACAGTTAACCCTTTGATCGCCCCCACATGTTAACCCCTTCCTGCCCAGTGCCATTAGTACAGTGTCAGTGTTTATTAGCACTGATCATGGTATTGGTGTCACTGGGGATGTCATTGATACCAAGTCAGTTCTCCCCAGTGTCAGAATGCCCGCCACAGTCCCGCTATAAATCCCAGTATATATACCGCCATTTGTAAGCGCTATAACTTTCACGTAAACCAATTAATTTACACGGATTGGTATTTTTTTCAGCAAAGACATGTAGCAGAATACTGAATAAATAAGTATGTGTTTAGAAAATCTACAGTGAGACACAACATATTGCGCTAGGTGCAAAAAATTAAATAAAAATATAAGTGAAAAACTGTTAAAAATAAATGATATATATATATAAATACTAATAAATATAAATATCAATGTCATAAAATCCCTTGCTGCCACTATGTGAAATAACAAATGCAAACAAAGAACACAGTGATAGTGAAAAAAGTGGCGCACACACTTATCAGTGATAAACTAATAATGATAATGCTAAATAACATATCTAATCCAAACAATACGCCAAAAAAAATCATTAATGTGTAGGAAAGAACTGTCCAAAGTTCAAATGCAGCTCCACATATCCTAAAGTCCACCACGTGATCAAAAAAAACAGTGGTCACAGTGCGCCCCCATGTGCACTTACCAGTGCTCCATTGTCCTCTACTTTAGTAGGTGAAACAGAGGGCTTTAACCGGTAAGCGTTATATTCTCACGTTAGTACAGGAGGTGAAAGGAGTCTGCAATATTCACTTATTCAGCCACCTGGACCCAAGGATCTCACAAGGTATCCGATGACACTCCATTTGCAACCATGTTATGTAAAATGGAAAAGGAACAAGGCCCGCTCCAATTGTATAGTAAAAAAAGGAATAGTTTATTCATATACTTATTTTTTAATAAGTTGATTTCTATTGTTTTTTACATATAATAAAATCATGACCTTTATTTTTATTCACTTGTATATAATTTTAAAATTGTCATTTGTCCTATCTTATTAATAATGTGTTGTATTGCCCATTTCTATTGATACATGGAGTCTATTTCTGCCATTGGTTGGCATCACATTCTGTGGGGTGTGCGCTGACAAATAAGGAGTAATTAGCTGTCTGGTGACTCCAATTACCTCTTTCTTATTTGAGAGTGAAGCCGCACTGCACCGTCACCCCTATGACTAAGTCTGAAATGACGAAACGCGTCAGGGTGTGACGGTGCGGCAACTGGAAGTGACACAGTACCGTAACCGGAAGTGACACGACGGCGTCAGAAGCGGTTGTTCCGGGGGTGGTGAGAGCACCTAAATGGTCTCTGCTTTCCACACTGCATTTGGGCTTGTTTCATTTGTTCACATTGTGAGTGCGATTTTAAAGAGCAATAAAGCATTTGGTATATTTTTACTAAACCATTGGAGCGGGCCTTGTTCCTTTTCTATTTTACATAACATGCTTGCAAATGGATACCTTGTGAGATCCTTGGGTCAAAGTGGCTGAATAAGTGAATATTGGGGACTCCTTTTATCTCCTGTACTAATGTTAGTATATAACACTTACCAATTAAAGCCCTCTGTTTCACCTGCTAAAGTAGAGGACAATAGAGCACTGGTGAGTGCACATCCGAGTGGGGGCGCACTGTGACCACTGTTTTTTTACCAATGTGTTTTTTGATCATGTGGTAGACTTTACGATATGTGGAGCTGCATATGAACTTTGGACAGTTTTTTCCTACACATTAATGATTTTTGGGGGATTCTTTTGGCATATTTGGATTAGATATGTTATTTAACATTATCATTATTAGTTTATCACTGATAAGTGTGTGCTTCACTTTTTTCACTATCACTGTATTCTTTGTTTGCATGTAGCAGAATACATTTTGGCCTAAATTTTTATGATTAAATTTGATTTTTAAAATTTTTTTACTGGACATGTTTAATAGCAAAAAGTCAAAAATATTGTTTTTTTTTTTTTCTCAAAATTGTCTTTTTTTTTTTTCATAGTGCAAAAAATAAATAACGCACACGCGATCAAATACCATCGAAAAAAGCTCTATTTGTGGGGGGAAAAAAGTACATAAATTTCATTGGTGTGCAGCGTTCCATGACCGCGCAATTGTCAGTTAAAATAACGCAGTGCCACAAGTCAAAAGTGGCATGATCAGGAAGGGGGGTAAATCCTCTGGAGGGCAAGAGGTTAATAGCATTTACCACTAAACGGGTGTATGTCCAGGGGTGGACTGACCATTTGGAAACTCGGGCACTGCCCGGGGTCAGTAGGGGGCCCCATGAGATGCCCCTGGTACCTTTTTCATAGGCTTTTTTGAGTTTGGGCAAGGACACAGGGACCCCATGATCCCCTATTGCCCGGGTGCCCCATGAGTTATCAGTCCGCCCCTGTGTATGTGTAACAGACCACCTGACAGCACCTCTATCAGTCCCCTGATAGAGCCTCCCGAGAGTGCGGAGTCTAAGTACCGGAACACTTGTTCACCAGGGCCCCTGATGGTGGGGATGGACTTGGAGTGCTCCGGGACCAGGTCGCAGCTACCGGGTATCTCTACCAGAGGTAGAGGAGTCTGCCAGAGGCTCCTGAGGGTTAAGAGTCTGATGTGAGGGAGCCCGGGGATCCCTGAGGGACTGATGGATGGATGAGCAAGATCAGAGTCAAATAGGCCGTGTCGGTAACTAGCGGGTCGGTGCGGTACAAGACTGTAGGCAAGGGATAGTCGGGTCACACGCAGGGTCAATACCAGAAGATCAGATCTATAAGGGAGCATCCAGGAGCAGAGTCAGACAAGCCAAGGGGTCAGGACAGGAGAAGGCAACAAGGTCAGACAATCCAGATCAGAGTACTCACAACAAAGGCAACAGGATACGCAAAGACCATTCGGCAACAAGTGTCGGTGCAGGGCTGGTTTAAATAGCCCGCGCTGCACCTGACAGGCGCAGCCTAGGTCCTAGTGCCTGCCCCGTACTGTCATAGACGACGGGTGCGCCTGGGTCCTAGTGCCGTGCTGCCTGCATGTCTTGACAGACACCTACGCATGTGTAGACTCATGCGTTGCGATGGTCCCTGACAGTATGTCTATTTACTGGTAGTAACCCACAGCTTGGTTAATGGTATCTTACACTTTGTGTATTTATTTTTTTTTAACAGTTGCATTTATTGAAATCGTACTAAAGTATAAACAAACCAAGGTACATGAGAACAATCAAGCTTGTGGCATACAGTAGATACACAATATTCATAAACTTCCAATGCTGAAAATCATACAGATTCAATCTGTCATCCTGAGCCAAGTCAAGAAAAGCATACATCGTATAATTTAGATGACCATTACCCACCAGATGAGAGTTGAGAAAAAGATCTTAGGGTGTGAGCTGGAGCATAAAACGAAAAAAGTGGATAGGACAAGATGGGGAAGGGGAGGGAAGGGGGGGGGGGGGGAGTGTAAAGAAGAAAGGCAGATCACAAACATTAGCCAGTCAGACAAATAATACAAACTTGACACGCCCGCAAGGTAAAAACCACCAAGTATTATACCGTAAGGCCGTGTGCGTCAACCCACCCAGCCCATATTCTATCAAATTTAGCTGGACAGTTACGACTCATATAAGTAAGTTTATACAAAGGAAGCGCACTGTAGATTGCCGGCTTTCAGCCCGAGATTGTCGGCGGGGTAGACAGTTTCCATTTCAACAAACTTTCTCTTGTAGCATAATAGAGAGAATAGAAGACCAACAATTTATTATGCTTAGACATCTCCATGAGGTCCAGAAGAACCAACAACATAATCAGCGGATCCATGGGAATAGACAGTTTACCAACAGCGTTAATAGTATCTAGTACCCCGGCCCAAAAGGGATGTAGGTATGTACATTCCCAAGACATATGGTGAAACGTGCCTACCGCCATATCACAACGAGGACATGTTGCCGATCTATCAGGATATATCGCAGCCAATTGCCGAGGTGTGTAATATATTCTATCTATAAATTTTAGCTGTATGAAGTGGCCCCTGGCTGAGATCATGGTAGGGGAGGCACTGTAAAAGACAATCCTCCCAATCATCCTCTGACAGAGATAGGAGGTCTGTGTGCCATTTATCGTAAAGCCACTGCATTCTAGTGGTAGATAGGGGTAGCAGAAAGGAATGAAGAGAGGATAACGGTTTAGGCAAGTCTTCCATTAACAACAAATTTTCTAAAGGGTTAGTCTGGATGGTAGGGGGAGAAGGAAATTGAG